ATCACTGGCATAATTTTAAACTTTATACACATATTTTACGCTTTTATACAGCACGTGATTTGATGTCTTTATGCAGCCGTAATACACCTTGTCATTGCAATTGTTAGTGATCAATTATATCGCATCAAAGACATGGCGCTTTTTGGCCAACCATGGCCCTTGCGCCACGAAATTCCACTAATCATCATTATCATCATTATTGTCATCACATCGAAGCTCTCTTAAATTCTCCAAATATTTCACTGTTCTCGTATACATAATTGGACATTTCACCAAATATTTCCTTGCTTCGTTTGAAGTTCATCATGACTAAGCCATAAGAGGAAATCTGTTCTTTCCGCTTGAAAAAAATGGGCCTTGTCTTGTGCAGTTGTTTGTACGACAACTGGTGATGCATTTTTAGGCTAGAACCCGTAATAACTCGTAATCGCTATACTTTTCTGGTACTTAGCTACGGAGCAGAAACATGGATGCTTACAAAGAGGGTTCAGCTTAAATTGAGGACTTCTCAGCAAGCGATGGAAAGGAAACGATAGGTGTAATCTGAAGAGACAAGAAGAGAGCAGAGCGGATCAGAAGACAAACCGGGGTTAATGATATAGCAGCAATCAAGAAGAGGAAATGGACATAGGCTGGGCATGTAGCGCGTAGGCCTGATAACCGCTGATCATTAAGGGTAATTTACTGGATGCCTTAAGAAGGCAAGTGGGTTAGGAAGAGACAGAAAGTTAGGTGGGTAGAAGAGATTAAGATGCTTGCGGGTTTAAAATGGCAGCAGAAAGCGTAGAACCGAGTTGTCTGGCGGAACATGGCAGAGGCCATTGTACTGTAGTAGGCGTAGTTAGTCTGATGATGATGGAATTACTGTATATGGTGTCTGTTCGGTCCCTGACGTGGTGCCAGCGGTGGTGGTCACTCTTTACGTGGAAGAATAAATGGGCGTTATGAGCGCTGGACGCAAGGGCATCCGCAGGACGCGCAACGTGCGAGAAAACAAATGCATGCTAAACGGAAGCAGATTGGTGTCGCAGCGATTCAATGTAAAAAAAGTAAGAGACACACACTTTCCACTTCTAAGCCTTTCCACTGCGAGTGTAAAAAGACAGCATACTCAGACGATAGCCACAGGCTTTCGCCGAACACCCTTTGGAACTTGCAGTGTTCGTTTATTTACCTTAATGTTTTCTGTCACCCACTATTTGTCGATTTTATCTAGACCCGTCTTACGTACCATCTACCTTTTCTCCTGGTCACAACAGAAGTTGCTAAAGAATTGAAATATTTGTTTTTAAAAGAGATCTTTGGCACTATTTAGTTTTGGAAAGCTAAATTCACATTCAGTTATTTATACCAAGTCAACAGAACGACGCTAGCAGCCGCAATGGGCAACACCCTTTTCTCTGAATCTGTTTGTGTGCAGTAAGTTTTGTTTACTTTTCGTCAGCATGTGTCTTCAGAATACTTGAACTGTGCATATCACCACAAGCTCAACACAATTTATTTGCTCTCCGCACCTCTACTTTATGTTTGAAATCATGGCTTCATGAGCAAGTAAATAGTGAGCTCAGGCCTGTAAACTGCAGGCTCTGCAACGACCTCAAGACAAGCCAGCATTGTAAATTCTTTACCGTGATTGCCTTCATTTCAGGGACAGCTTCAAGAGAATCAATATAATACAATCTTCAATTACCTCATAGTGTTCAGTTCTTCGGTTCGAAAGATTGTCGACAATAAGTCGCCATATTAAGTAACAACGCTGCTACTGATTTATTCATTATGAAAAATCCACATGATGGCCAGGCATGCTGAGCCACTTTGCTTGACAAGGTCTGTCTTTTGAGAAACAACGGCTAATTTGCATAGTGTTGCCCAGACATTTGAGCATGTTCCGAATGGTTTGGACTTCTGGATGGTTGTATTTTTGTACCATACGTTTGAAGATTTACTAGACTGTGTGAAAATGTGTGTTTCATACATGTAAGCGTAAATCTAAAGCCATGAATTCTATTCGAATAGACGACGATAACTCACTACTTCATTACCTATGACTAAATAAAGGAGGGACCACGGCGCAGTCGACGGCGTGCCTAGTTACTGCTGTCGTGGACTAAGAAGTCATTTGTTCAATTCACAGTGACAGAAGTCTATTTTTTTTTCAATTTGGTCTTGCAAAGTTATGATGGACCCTGGTGTAAAACACGTTCATGCCGAAATTTAGATTTATATGCGCGAGTATCAACGTTCACTGCATGACTGAAGGTCAATATTTACCCAAACAACATATAGGTAAAATAGCATGTCGTGTGAATGTCACATTAAACGATCTTTACACTTACATGGCGAAGGAAGTGCCTAAAGCTGTGGCACATTTGACTATTGTGGTTCACAACTTCGACGATCACAAACCATACATGCTTCAGTCATACTTGGGGTCACGAAGGCACAGAAACAAATATCACCTATTTCTAAACCTAGTTACAATGAGCTCAACTGATATAATGTTTCAAAGGAGATCATGAATTCACCCGATATGGTGCGTACAAATTGCAAGCCAACGAAAATAGAGCAATTCTTGTAGGAACTCCTAATCCCGGTTATCTTCATTGAGTCGTCATTACCAAGTAGTAATTTCCTCTGAAAACGAAAAGGAACAACCATAATTCTGCTAAATATCTAAGTACAGCCGCCGTTCCATTTCATTTTTCCTAAATATTCCATTTCACTCCCATAACTCGTCCCGGCAGTCCTTCCGCTCCTCCGACCCCCTTTACACTCTGTTAATTTTTGTTTGGATAAAAAGATAGAGCACGATACATACAGATAGAAGCACTAAGGCAAGAAACTGTCCCTTCAACACAATTATGCTTGGCAAAACGTCCGGTACAGCACACGACGTGTTTAAAAGCTTTTTCCCCAAAAGCCATCATCTTTCCTGGACTCTTTTTTTTATCTTCGTTCTAATACAAACAAAATAACTACTTTTTTTGCCTCCTTGCCATACTGTAACCTGTTAGATCCTGTTTGTCCTGTGTTTTCTGAGAATTTTATGATGAGAAAATTCTCTGACAATTTCTTTTAAAGAAACCATGCGTCTTCTGAGAATTAACATTAGCGATCCCACTTCTGAGCTGGGACAATGAGACGCTATTTTTCGTTCATGTTTGAAGCCACAATCTACTAGCGCTGAACAAGGTAGGTTTAATTCCAAATTCATCTGCTGACTGACTTCTGGTGCCTACGTGTAGGGAAATTGAGTGCTGTTGTCTGCTTTGTGGTATTGCTAAAGGAAGGAAGTGATTTTAGGGGCTAAGCTCCTAAAAGCGACACCCATTCGTCCCTCGTCGTAGTCGTAGTGTGTAACCGTTCTTACGCTTTGACCAGGAAGGTGGAGCCGGTGGGAGGTTTCTCATGTGCGTTGTTCAACAAGAAAAAATTTGCAGCGTGTGCGTTAACTGAAAGCCGAATTCTCTTGTCTCTCAATACCCATTAGCAGCCATTGGCATATACATTGAGCACTATCTGACAAGAAAGGGTTGCTACGTTATACTCGCTGGGCGTAACCTCCTTGGTTTTAAAAAGGTTTAGCGAGCGTTGGGCTGTAGTGCCATGAATACAGTGAACTAGTATATAACATGAACTCGAGGTGGTTAAAGGTGGGAAGTAGACACGAAGTGCAAACCGCAAGAAAGTAAACGCGTGCAACCTCTCGTTTTGTCCTTGGAACGTCCACTGGGTGGTGGTGCTTCTATATGCAGAATATATGATGAAAACATGCGAGATGGTGGTACTTGGAGTGTTGACTAAATGGACGAATGGACGCACAGACAGATGCATGGATGGACGCATGGATGGCTGCACAGACGGATGGACGCATGGACAGACGCAGGGGCGGATGCATGGACGAACGCAGGGATGCCCGCACAGATGGACGTGCGGACGCATGAACAGACGCAGGCACGGACGGGCGGATGGACGCATGAATGGTCACACTGACGAACGCATGAACGGACGGAAGCAAGAAGGAATGGATGAACGAATATAGCTCCCCAATCTCCATTCTTCACCCCGTGAATGCGCTGTCATTTTAAACAATTCCTTCTTCTTTGTTAGGCCGAATAATATTAATATTTATCAGATAATACTTTCAACAAAAGTATATGTCATGTTATCTCTACTAGTTCTTATGCAAGTACTTAAAAACTAAAGTGAACGAATAGAAAACTGATCGGCTGCAGCGACTGAATGTTTAACCGTAGAATTCGAAGGATGCAGTTAAGATTCGAAAAAAAAAAAGGTTTTGTAGAGGACTGCCACGCATTCTACAGTCCACTCAATAACTGGTTAAGGGGTTAGTGAACACAAGGTGGACATGACTGGGTCAAGGATTTAAAAGTGCACTTTCCTGAGGATAAAACAATGTTGCCTCTAGTACATCAATTAGTTTCTGTACTACAAATTCAGAATATTTTTAAAGAATGAATCGTATAGGTTGCCACATTATTTTTTTCTCAGCTCATGTTTCAACTTAAATGTCATTTATTCACTGTTTCGTTAAAACACCCGCCACGGACCTACGAAATCAATGAGTGCTGCATTGCATGCTGTGTTGTAACGACGATAAGCAGCAACTTTATCATTGCAGTGCTTGTGCATAGTATAACAAAATCATGCATCTGCTTACAGAAAAGACACCCTAGCGGTGTGGCCTGCTTTGAATCAGTACCTAATTTAGTTATTTTCTACTATTGCACTCTTCTAGTTCGTGGGGATGCCTGAGAAATTATGGACCGTCAAGACAACTAATACAGCACATATCAGATGTGAGGTTGACCAACGAGTGTCTATTAGGGCACTGTCCGTTATTTTTAATAGGTCTTACTTAACCAGAAATCACAGGTGAGTTTTTGCAACACTACTGCATTTCTTCTGTTAGATGCGTATTTTTTTCTCCACAGGCGTGTATTACGGATACGGGGAGTGTTTGATAACCGTCGCAAGCGCCGGATGACTCTCTTTTACGGAGGTAGGGCTTAAATATGCAATCTTTATATTCATCAATTGACTAAGTGCTCTTATTCACTAATGTTTTCTTAATTGTGCACAATGATTTACTCTTTGATTTCGATGGCTGATAACATCAATAAACTGTATTAAATGACGCGGTTTATAACATTCAGGCAACATACCATTCCCCCTTGCCTCAGTGCTACTGTTTACATGCTGTCACGGCATACTTCAAAGATGACCTCCATGTCTGCCAGATCACCTTGCATGTACCACATGCACGTAGCATGAGGCATTCAATTTAGTACCCGAGAGCAATGTGACAAACCAGTGCGCAGCCGCTCTCTGTAATGACAAGACTAAAACGATCCAATGTCGCCTTCTCCCATGAGTATATCAACCTTCATGTTTTTTCTCATGGTATGAAGCGCTCGTTATAGAGTTAGATGCTCTCATACATGTGTCATGTAATAACAATTCAACAAATTCACACTTAGGGATACGCCTAACTATATATATATATATATATAGACAGCGACGGGTCAATCCTTCACACCAGCTAGTATATTATATTTCTTGGTTTCGTTGCACTCATTCTAGCTCATGCAACCTTCAGCCAGTATCACTCTCTTTGGCGTTCGAGAATTTCTTTCAGCCATTAGCATAAGAAATGCAATTCCAAGCATCAAATGCTAAAGACAAAATAATGAATTGAGACACATCCTAATGGGTTCAAACGTATAGACAATACATGAGCAGGGTTTTTATGAAGTGTGCTCAAGAAGACTGGAATGTAGAAGATCCTCGGCAATTACAAATGCAAAAGGAAACAGAAAAAAACACTCAATTTGTAGTATCAAAATGTTCATCATCCATGTCCCTGAATGCACCAAGTATATAACTGCGGATATTTATGTGAACAGCATGGAATAGGGCAGTTTTCCGAAATTGTCAAGGGCAACACTCTGAACTGAGAAAATACAAAAATAATTTGGATATGCCACATTATTTGGTTGAGAGAGAAGCGTAGCGAGAAAGAGATGCAGATTTATATACACCATTTTGTAGCTGCAATGGGTTTTCTTGCCAGACGCTTTCACGACACTCAAATGCCTAAAGAATATATCCCTACGAAACGCAGGCGCTTATACCGAGCGAAGACGTTTGCTTCAATTAGCTGAAGCGCAAGTTTAGACGTGCTGTTGTAAACCCCATGATTCTTGACATTTGCTGCACTATGATGGAAAGAAATGTCATATACTACACAATCTATAGTCATAGCATTGATACGAAGTAAAATGGCCAAAAACTACAATGAAAGAGAGGACACACACACATGGATTCCTGTTTGTGTATGTATGTATGTATGTATGTATGTATGTATGTATGTATGTATGTATGTATGTATGTATGTATGTATGTATGTATGTATGTATGTATGTATGTATGTATGTATGTATGTATGTATGTATGTATGTATGCAGGTATGTATATATGTATCTAAAGGAAGAGAACAGACATCACCTTTGCTACGGGCCGGCTTTTGTATTCTGTTTCGCAGCATAGCCTAGTGCACGCTCGCGCCCCAGTGGCGCTGTCATCCTTACACTCGGCCATGACTGTGATGAAGTAGAACTAGCTGCCAAAAATGTCTCTGGAAAATTTTCGGGTGTGTCGCGGTGGTCTGTATATGGTATGTCATGACTGGTCTTGAGGAAGTGCCGAAGGCTCTGGAGGCCGGCACTCGCTGTGGCGTGTCAGCCAGTGGCGTCAATGATGCCTTTGGTGGTCGGCCTTGGCTGTTGCGTGGCGAATAGTCTTGCACAGCCTGAGTGGTCTGTCTTGTGCACGCCGCGATGCATCGAGTGTCGAAATCTCATGTTGCTGACAGTGACTGCCTCACTGCAGCTGCAGGCCTCAGCCACGCTGCGACTCCACGTGCTTTACAGAAGGTGCATCTAGCAGATAGCTCTCAAGATTAGGTGTGGGAAGCTTGTGGCTCTCATAATCTTTTTGTCGCACTCGTGAACGCGCTGTTGGGGAATTTTCGCCCCGTATGTCGGTGGCCATCAAAGTGAAAGTTTAGAAGAGATAAGCGCAGCAGCCACCGGGAACTCATTTTCAGGTTTTAGCTGCAAGGTCCTTGTGTGCGCCCTAACGTATTGTATTTCAGAGCTGCCGAGGTCAAAAGAGCTTTGGTCACCATTTGAACCATGGATCGACTTGGGCTTTAGTGACCGGCCTTCCTTGACAGCTTTGACAGACATGTCAGCTTGACTCAACGACACGTCACTTTGAAAATGCCAGGCATCTGACGGTTCCGGAGGTAGTTTCAATAGATTGGGTGCCGTTTCCGGTGGTTCTCGCATGCGCTTTTTCAGTGCACGCAAGAGGACTTCCGGATGTGTGGGAATTTTCAGAGAAGCTGATGGGTCTTGCATATAGGCATAGATGTCATGGGCTCCTGCTCTTCCGCTTTTTTTACAAAAGATGTATGTGTGAGAGCCGAGAAGAGATGGTAACGGCGTGTTCGCGTGTCTTGCTGGTTATCTCTGGAGCGTCACCAACAGTCCTTCCTTGTAGGTGCTCATGATCTGTGATGCTCATGCGGAGAGTAATATCGCGTAACAGCAGCTGTTTGGCGCGGAATCCTTCTTGTGGTCGTTGTGGGTGACTGCCGCGAGGCCATCTACGATGCTCTCGGTAAAAAGGCTGCGGGGTACATCTGTGCCGTCGATGTGGCTTGCCGAGGAAATAGCGTCACAGGAATGTGAAAGAGGGCGAAAAATGTTTTTGAACTTAGCGCAATTTCAGGCCTAGATTGCTGCCTTATTCCCTGGTAGGCATGCCTTGCTCTGGCAGCGTTGCGAAGGTGGTCGATGGAAAATATTCACTTGCGATATTCTGGCGAGGAAGGTGCTGAGAGAAATAATGGTCTCCACCTTCAGGAATGCCGTGAAACACCGGGAATGTCGCAAAACAACGGGACTGCTCGAACAGCCGACGATCGTGTAGCGGCATGCAAGGAACCGGAGTTCAGCGACAACACTTGATGGAGTTGAAATAGTAGCTCTGCCAGCACGCGTGAAATATCCGCACAGTTGCTCACCGAGCCACTTGACAAGCCCTTGATAGTAATCGCGGAATGCACGGCGGCCTCTGTGCTCACGGTGCCTGGGTAAATTGCCGAGAATGCGTGGACGGCCTCCCTTGTTATTAACACGTATCGCACGTTGGTGCGCTGCGGATGAGCCGTCACTCCACCGCGGTTGTTTAGTAGCTAAGGTACTCGGCTGCTGACCCGCAGGTCGCGGGATCGAATCCCGGCTGCGGCGGCTGCATTTTCAATGAAGGAGAAAATATTGTAGGCCCGTGTGCTCAGATTTGCGTGCACGTTAAAGAACCCTGGGTGGTCGAAATTTCCGGAGCCCTTCACTACGGCGTCTCTCGTGATCATATCGTGGCTTTGTCATGTTGAACTCCACAAATAAATCAATGCTGATGAGCCATCACGGAGGCCTAGACCCCGTCCCCGATAGGGGGGGGGGGCAGTGGCGGCAGGTGAGCAAGTATCGCAAGGGCCTAGACGCCGTCTTGCACTTACTAGAAGCTGCACTTACTGCGGCTGCACGGTGCCGAGTGCTTTGGATGAAGACTCGTCGACGTAGAAGTTTGTCTGGTGCAATCCTTTCGAATGTGCCATTGTAATTAAATGCGATAAAGAACAGCCAGCCTGAAATAACGGCGTTGTCTCTTTGTTCAATTTCTTTTGTTTGTATGTATGCATGTATGTATGTATGTATGTATGTATGTATGTATGTATGTATGTATGTATGTATGTATGTATGTATGTATGTATGTATGTATGTATTGTTTATGTAGTCAATACTGCCGACTTTTATGCGAAGCCGTAGGCAGAATAGGGTGCATACTTATGTATTTTATATATCATTTTACAATAGAAAAAAATCAACAGGAATGACTTATAACAAATGCAATGCGTCGAGAGAAAAAAAATGTAGAAGAGTTCCAAGTAGTAAACATTGAAAACATCAGTCAATGTAACAAGTCTTGCCCCTATTAGACAGAATAAGCAACTTTGCCGAAAAACGCACCAACTACTGATCCAGAAAAACAATGAGCAAATACGAACAAAACGACTAATTTACTAAGGTTGCACGGCGGGCTAGTTGGTTATTCATGTAGCGCCGTGTATGTGTTCTGTGTTTTCTTCTCTGTTCCGTTCTGCATGCGCTATACCTCGAACAACATGACTAATAGACACAATAAGCAAAAAGTAACAGGTGTGAACAAAGTACCATACGAACGACCTAGTGCGCAATATAGCAAAGCAATAGAACTCATACACACAGAAGATCTTAGATGCAGTGCCAATTATAATAATAATAAGATTAATAGTCATAATAATAATAATAATAATAATAATAGTATTGTTATATAATGACAACAAATCGATTGAAGGATGAAAGGCCAATTCGCTACCGCATTCATGAATGAAGAAGCAGTTGTGCTTGATGCAGCTTCTTATGTGGTTCTTAAAGGGAAAAGAAGAGAAAAGTGAGCCCCGTAACTGTCTGCATCTGGTGCGACACATCAACAGTAGGTCACAAGTTATGGGGGTAAAATGGAATTATAAGAATAAGACTGAAGGTGCATATAGGGAGAGAGGAAGTAGAGAGCGAGACACAGGGACAGTGGACGACAGAAGTAAGAGAAGACAGCAAGATGGACACGGTCACAGGAGCCCGAGGACGGGGCACCACTTGGCGAGAGCTCTTGTCAGCGTCCGGAGATGGCATAGGGCGAATCCAGTCAGCCAGAGCTAAGCTGTCGTCGGGGATCGGCGTCAGGAGATGGCGAATGACCAGCCCAGTCGGCCAGAGCTGCACTGTTGTCGGAGATCGCGAGGGCCCAAATGGTTGGCACGAAATCCAGCGAGCCAGTCCTGATGCAGCTTGATCGAGCAGTGAGTTCCAACTAGTTACTGTTCGAGAGAAA